TCACCAAGATGCATAGTCTCAATCCTGGCCTCAACACACACTTGAGCTTCAGGCTACCCCTGGAGATCGTGCACTTGGACCCCAAGGTCACCTTTGAGCAGGAAAGAAGTGTCACCTGTGGAACTTGATATGCCCTAAACTTAGTTTTTATTTTTTTATTTTTTTTTATTTTTTTTTTAATATTTATTTTTCAGTTCTCGGCGGACACAACATCTTTGCTGGTATGTGGTGCTGAGGATCGAACCCGGGTCGCACGTATAGCGGGCAAGCGCGCTACCGCTTGAGCCACATCCCCAGCCCCTAAACTTAGTTTTTATACAGACCAGCATTTGAGCGGGGCTGTTATCTGATAAATCCCCAAAGTAATTATCTCATGCTATTTGACAGGGGGTTGGTTTCTGGGAATTGAACCCAGGGGCATTAACATCTCTCTAGCCCTATTTATTTATTTTATTTTAATACAGGGTCTTGCTCCGTTGCTTAGAGCCTTGCTAAGTTGCTGAGGCTGGCCTTGAACTTGTGATCCCCCTACCTCAGCCTCCGGAGCCTCTGGGATTACAGGTATAAGCCACCACCTGGCTACCTCATGCTATTTTTATCTCCAAGAAAATACATATTCTTTTTACAAACAAAAACAAGGTAAGTGGCTAAATCTGGGAAAGTGTTTGGCGAGTTCTGATTTCTTAAGATTTAAGCTGAAAGTTTGAACTTCTCCTCAAGCTCAGAGCCAAGGACACAAGCAAGTGTTGGGCCATGCCCAGGATGTTGGATGAGCCAAAATGACCAGTGGGCAGCCCAAGAGGGAGCAGAGAGGCATTTCCATGTGCTGAGTTGTCCCTGCTGTGTACAGACAGCACCTGGGGACAAGGCTTGTCTGGCCAGCGTCCGGGCCAGAAATTAATCCTGTTATGTTTTGGGTCAAATGTGCAGGAATAGAATACTGTCAGGACCTTCAGAAGAATAGAACTGATAAGATAGATAGATATAAATATATGAGAACGGATTTATAAATATATGAGAACGTGGTTGTGTGTGTGTGTGTGTGTGTGTGTGTGTGTATGTGTGTGCTGGGAATGGAATCCAGGGCCTCACATGTGCCAGGCTAGTGCTCCACCACTGAGCCACACCTCCAGCTTTTATTGTGGGGTGGAGAGTGCTGGGGCATTCAAACACTGAGTTACATCCCCAGCCTTATTTTGTATTTTATTTAGAGACAGGGTCTCCCTGAGTTGCTTAGAGCCTTGCTGTTGCTGAGGCTGACTTTGAACTTGCGATCCTCCTGCCTCAGCCTCCAGAGGCGCTGGGATCACAGGCATGCACCACCGTGCCTGGCTTCTTTTATTTCTATTTGGAGACGGGGTCTTGCTCAGTTGCCCAAGCCAGGCTCACGCTTGCCCTTCCCCTGTCTCATTCTCAAGAGTAGCTGGGATTACAGGTGTGTCGCCTCCCCCAGCAACTGTGCAAAAATTATTTTAAAGCCATTTACTTAGAAACCGCCCTGGTTTTTCTCCCACGGTGTTTAGAAATGTCCTGATATGCATATCATTGTGTTCTCTTCCAAACGACTGCCATGGGTCCTGCCTCCAGTTCATCCTGGGGAGGTGGGTTCTAGAAAGCCAGGCCAAAAGGCTGGGCTTCTCCATCAAGGCAACTGTCCACCTGCACCCGGGGGGTCCCCGTGGATCCTGAGATCCCATCACCCACGGCCACAGTGTGTTCCCCAGAGGGTCCTGAAAAGGGCTCATTTCTGGTCAGTCTTCTTCGTTCTGGAACGAAGTCATTTTCTGCTGTAGACAGAATCTATTTTGAGCTGCCTTTTTTCGTCTACTGCTTCATACGTGTGGGTCTCCCGTGGGCTCCACATCTGAGAAGCTTCGCTCCCTCGCAGACTCTCAGAAACAGAGCCAGCCAAGCGGGGAGGGCTGTTCTCAGGCACAGATGGCAGCTGTGGGGGAGAGGAGCCTGCTCTGGGTCTCTTCCACGTGCAGGCGGAATGAAGCCAACTTCCTCCCCGTTCTTGACATCAGAAGGAGCTGACCGCAGTGTTCTTTTTAAAAACCAGTAGCCAGAAGCCTTGAACTTGGACCTTGTGAATACATTGAATGGTTGCTTTCTTTTCTTTTTGGTCCTGGGGATTGAATTCAGGGGCACTCCACCACTGAGCCCCATCCCCAGCCCTATTTTGTATTTTATTTAGAGACAGGGTCTCACTGAGTTGCTTAGCCATTGCCGAGGCTGGCTTTGAACTCTCGATCCTCCTGCCTCGGCCTCCCGAGCTGCTGGAATGATGGGCATCCGCCATCACGCCCGGCTAAACAGTTGCTTTCTGTTCCCTAGGCTAAGGTTTTGGTAGTTGGTAGACAGATGTCTCTTTAAATCCAGGTTTCTGCAAGTGCCTATTCTCAGCTTCTTCATTGGCATCTCTGAAGAGATGCCGGTAAGTGGCCAATGGATTGGGGGAAGGTTCAGAAAAAAAAAATAATTTGCTTTCTGAGATGAGTATTGGGGGAGGGTTAGGGACAGGGGGACCCAAGAATCACGCAGACCCAGGGGTTCCTATTGTGAATTCCTCAAGGCACCTGCCCTCCTGGGAGACCCTGGGGTCCTGTCACCTCCACACTCTGAAATAACCATTTCACCACCCTTGTGATCCCTGTTCCCTACTCCCCCCTCTGAGCCAGTGGCTTCCTTGTGGTCCCTCCTCTGAACCCGCTGCTCATCCATGCTTGGACCCCGCCCCCATCCTTCTCGCCTTCTACTAACTCCCAGCAAACTGGCTGGGAGCTTCTCGCCTGGTTTTGAACCTGTCTCCTTAGAAACAACAAAACATTTGAAGCCCTCCAGAGCCCCCTCTGCTCATCCCCAAATTGCCCAAAAAAGATGTCTCTCAATTCTCTGCCTCCCAGCCTCTTTCTGTCCCCACTTCTCCACTCAGGTCAGGGCCGGGCACAGTGGCACATGCCTGTAATCCCAGCTACTCGGGAGGCAGAGGCAGGAGGACCAGAAAGAAGTTCAAGGCCAGTCTCAGCAACTTAGTGAGGCCCTAAGCAACTTAGGGAAATTCTATCTCAAAAATAAAAAATATAAAGGGCTAGGGATATGGCTCAGTGGTAAAGCACCCTGGATTCAATCTCTAATACCTAAATAAAAATAAATATTTAAACTTTATGCTTATATTATATATGCATTATATATAGCATACATATATATACACTATATCATGCATTATACATAATATACTATGTATATAGTTGATTCGTTAACATTAAACTATCACCCACACCTGAATGAAGCCCATGTAATGCATAGTTTCTTTTCAACAGTCTACATATTTACACAGTAGTCACTGCTTAGTTGCAGTCTTGCCACTAGCTCAAACTTTGTGGTCAATTGAGATCCACAAATATGACATGGAACATTCCAGAAGTAAACAATTCACAAGTTTTACATTGCATGCTGTTTGGAGTAGCATGGTGAAATATGGCACCGTTCACCTCCATCCTGCCTGAAATGTGAATCATCCCTTTGTCCAATAGATACATATTGTATGTGCCCATGAGTCACTTAGTAGCCATCTCAGTGATCAGGTCAACAGCTGAGGTTTCACAGTGCCTGTGTTCAAGGATCCTTGTTTTACCTAATAACAGCCCCAAAGCACAAGAGTGAAGCTGGCAATTCAGATATGCCAAAGAGAAGCCAGAAAGAGCTTCCTTTAAGTGAAAAGGTGAGAGTTTTTGACTCAATCAGGAAAGGGGGAAAAAATCATGTGCAGATATGTTGTTATGCTTTATGGTAAGAACAAAACACAGTAGGTAGGTTTCAGTACTATCTTGGTTTCAGGCATCCCACGAGGGGTTCTGGAACATATCCCTTGGAGATAAGGCACGGAGTGTCTGCTGTCCAGTTATTCTATCTGGAAATAATTATAACTTCAAACATTTTTTTTTCCTTTTTCTTGTTTACTTACCTTAACTAATTCTTCCTGAACAAGATTTAATAATTTGGGGCAAGTGAGCAGTCTCATTATTATTCCCTTTAAAATGACAAGGTTTTACCTCGTGTGGTGGTACATGCCTATAATCTCAGCAGCTCAGGAGACCAAGGTAGGAGGATTAAAAGTTCAAGGCCAGCAACTTAGTGAGACCTTGTCTCAGAATAAAAAATATAAAGGGCTGGGGATGTGGGCATGTGGCTCAGTGGTTAAGCACCTATGGGTTCAACACCTGGAACAAAAATTTTTTTACAAGTTTCTGGTGTTTCCCCTCTAAACATGATGATCCACTCACTGAACAGTCATAATAGGGAAGAATTCACTTTTTGACCTTTCAATTGAATGCACTGTTTTTACATTTTCAAACATTGAACCATCCTTGCATTCTAGTAATGTGCCTTTTAAAAGAAGTGATGAAATTTTATTAAATTAAAAAAAATTTTTTTGCATTGATATTTAGACATGAGATTACTCTGCAGATTTCTACTTGTGGAGTTATTTTTATCAGGTTTTAGAACAGGGGATTAGACTGTCATTGTAAAAAGAACTTGGCAAATTTTCCTTCTGAATGGTCTAGCAGTTTAAGTAGTGTTGAAATTGTTTCTTTCCCAAATGTGCTTTTTTAATTTTTTAATTTCGTGATGGAATCATTTCAGTGAGAACCTATTTTGAGGATGGTTTCTATGATTACATTTCCAATGCCATACATTGTTACTAGACAGACTGGAATCTTGCAGAGAGGGAAGAGTGATGGCAGAATTAGTGAGCGAACTCAGCCTGGCATTTGGAGTAATATCGAGTCTTTGGGAGACTAAATTAGATTGAAGCAGGCTACGCACCTGCAGACACAGCCCTTTAAAGAACCCCAAGACTGCAAAGCCTGCAAAGCCTGCATTTTCTCTTCCCAATGAACCTTGGGGCCCCGCCCACAGCAGGCCAGGTGCTATTGTTGGACAGTGTCTTAGTTTCCCAGGGCCAGGGCCCCTGTAATAAATGATCACAAGAAAAGTGACTTAAAACAACAGAAAGATATTTTCCCACAATTCTGGAGGCTGGAACTCTGAAACCCAGGTGTCATCAGGGCCACTGCTCCTGCTGAAGGCTGGTTCTCTTGCAGGTCCTGGTGCTCACTGGCTCATTCCTGAATTCCTCCAATCTCTATCTCCAATGTCCCATGACGGTCTTCCCTCTGGGTGCCTCTGCGTCTCTTCATTTCTTTTAAGGACACCAGCCTTTGGATGTAGGTCCCCTGCCCTTCATCCATTGTGACTTCATCTTAATTACCTGTAGAAAGTATGTCCAAATAAGGGTGCGTTCACGGGTACCAGGAGTCAGGATCTCCACATACATTTTGCAGGGAACACGATTCATCTCACAGCAGCTGGAAAACACCCATATCCTTTAAGAAATCTCCCTTTCATTGAGCACCGT